TCCAGTGTCCCGGTGGAAGTGGAAAAATCATGGCCTTGTTCTACCGGAGTAGATTCACTTGCCAGCCTTCTGCCTCTCCCTTCCAGTCCGTGTACTTCCTGGTTGTCGTTCATGGAATGGTCTGTGTTGACCTCCACTTCTAACAGTTCTTTACGCTCTTCTGAGGTCTTCTGACTTCTCGTTTCAACCATTCTGCCTGAAACCGTCTCCCCTTTGTCGGACCGGGATCGCTTGATCCAATCCACAAAAGGATCGGTCATCGTTTTTCTTTGCTTTTCAGGTATGAATTTCCTAGAGCTATTACCTCGTTTTGGTATCCTTGACTTGTCTAGACTTATTCTCTATTTGTCACTTCTTAATGCCTATACACTTAACTCGATTGCTAGTGACCTTATAGTTTTATTAACAATAATAATGACACAACACAATAAATTTCACAAGATTCTATTAAATAGTGACCACGAATCCCTGTATGTTATTAGAGTACAGTTTGTATAATATTTATTCACACTAACCGATTATCGGTCGTATGATTTGAAAACTAGCACAATATGATGTTATCAGTCAATTTAAAAGATAGTGTACTCACTACCCAATCAAGCACAGTTTATGTTGATTTAAAATCAAAAACAAAAAAAATATATAATGACAGAATATTAATGCCTCTATGAAAAAAACGTATGTGTAGTGTACTTTTAGTCTGTCGTAGTACAATAGTCGAACTTGTCTTTTAAAGAAAAAGCTTTCCCTGCTCGGTGCTGCACCAAACAGACAAAAATCTGAAGGCAGTAATTTTCTCAAGTGGGCGTCTATTGCACCCACCGAGTACTGTGTTACCTATCTGCCTTCGGACTGCCCGAGCTAGACCTACTAAAATCCTCAGGGCAGTCACTTTTCACAAAAACGTATTATGTTACAATCCACACCAATGAATCACGCTCTTTTTAGTTTAGACTTAGTGTCGCGAATATCCGAGTTCGGACCTGTTTTGTTTTGGTCTGGTTCTTATTGAAAGGCAAGTTACCAGTGCAGTCACTGATTCCTAGCCTGTGTGCTATTAACCTAATACCTCTCACTTTAGTCTTTCGTCCGTCTACCTAAGTCCTTTAATAAAATAATACCCCTCCGGATTGGCACAAATAGGACCCTTCCGGATCAACAAAATCTAGACCCCTCCGGATTGGGACCCCTCTGAGTTAGTTAATAGAAGACCCCTCCGGATTTGGACCCCTCCGAATTAGCAACTATAAGACCCCTACGGATTCGGACCCTCCTAACTTGAAAAAATTTTGACCCCTCCGGAGTGGTAAAAGTAGCTTTTCGGAGATTTCCTTCTTTCAACCTATACCCCTCCGGATACGTTCTCCGATGCAATTTTGCTTTTTCAATTAACTAGGAAGGGTATGTACTACTTTCCTAGACCCTTCCGGATTGAAGTTAAGCCTCTTATTTGACAATTCACACTAACGGTGAAGGGTCTTATCGCTCGCCTAACTTCGGCTCGATTAAGGTTTTGCTGTGCCCCTAGCCTTCCCTTTTCGTCTGGAACAGCCTAAAGTTACTTTATTCAACCGCTATTACCTTTTGGTAGGGGTATAAGGGCTTTTCTAAAAGAAATTTATAAAACGTGAAGGGTGTACCCTTCCAAATTGAGGAATTTTGCTAAAAACAATCTCAAAAAAATTTCACGCTTACTTTTCCGAAAAACTTTTGTCCCTATCAGTAAGCTCAGCTAATTTTTGATCTATTGGTACCAAGATCAACTTGATATGCCTAGTAGTTCCAAAGTTATTAACCAAAACGTCTTTTTTCTAAACTCAAGAAAATTCTCTCTTATAGGTTCGGCCTAACTTTTTCCGCAAATCTGGTCCGTTCGACCTAAAATTTATTGATCCGAGCTCAGAAGGCCTATACTCTTCTAGTTCAATGCAAAAGACCCGATCTAAAACGCTTTTGTTGAAAAAATTTGCGAAAAACTGTGCTACCTGTACCCCTCCGGATTGATGAATCCACCAAATCAAACACGTTAAGTTCGATTTCTCTGCAACCCGGAAGGCTTTCGGGTAGCGGGTCTTAAAACTTGTAGACTCACTAGTGGACGTTGTCCGAACAACTATTCTTACTGTTCTAACTCAAAATTTTCAAAAAATTTTCTGAATTTATAGTGTTCCGTTTTCTCAAAAATCACGAAATTTCGGTTTTCGGTACCAAAATAGTTCCAACCACTTTCGAACTAAACTTAACCGGTTCTATCTATTATGGTAGTGCAGTTACGATGTAACACACTAACTTAGCGCTTTTTTCCGTTTGAAAAAATATCGATATTTCAAAAATCGCGACTTGTGGGGGATCAAAATATCGCTATTTTGACCCTAAAAACCGGTCTGTTTTCGTTGTTTTTCACTGAAAAACGATATAAGACTATTAATATAGGCTTTATAATTAATAATATTAGTAATACTATACCTCTCCGGGTTTGTTCAATATCCGAACTAAGGTGCTTAACTCGGATATTCGCAGTTCGGTGAAGGGTCACTACAGTGCAGCACTATCGAGCCCCCCACAGATTACTATCTTACTTTTTGTACCAAAAGGGATACAAAACTTGCTAACGATACCCAACAGTCGATTGTTGTTGTCGTTGAGCCCCTTCTTGTTGCTCCTTGTACTGCTTGCCGGATCAGTCTTCTCCCAAGACCCTTCCGAATTGAGCGCAAATCAGCTGACCCTTCCGGATTGAGCGCAATTTATCATTAACGTGCTTAAATGCTCAAATAACCCTTCAGTACAAGCCTCACAAACGGGCTACAAAACTGATCGTAACAATCCTGACTGATATAAATGCCTGTAACAACAATATATCTATCAACAACAAACGGGGGGGTCGGATCACATCTTGTCTGGGGTGATGATTTCTACTGATTTTTTACTTTTTTTTTTACTGTTTTTGGTTTTTTCGGTTATTTTTTATGTTTTTTTGTTTTTCTTGGGTACTATACTACTTTTTGTTTGGTTTTGTATATATCTTTAAGTGTTTTTGGTCACGAGCCCCTCAGGGAACGACGGGACCGCGAATCCCCCCACCCTTCCTGGTTCGTGAATTTTCGGTCTTAACTAAGTTAAAAAGCTATTCACGGTAATCCGGAAGGCTACCGCGTTCCGAACTATCCTTCCGCCCCGGCGGCTTAGGCCTATTAAGGGCGTTAATGTGAGCATCCGCTCGGCGCGGAGTGCTCGTTAACGGTTCTGCCGGTCATGATGTTAAAAAAGAATAACACCCAGGAGCGCCATAAAAACATGTATGTAACATTCGCCCGGAAGATACATATCGACGGAAAATAAAACTAAGTCCTAAGACGACTGGCTAACGTCTAAACAGAGCTTTATATGCTTTTCACCGTCTCTACCAAGCCAGTACTTTTGGTGGTCTTTTCCAACATCGGGTCGACAAAAACGTTACTGCTTTCGGCTTCGGTCAAAACACTCAAATTAACTAGATTACATGCAGAAATAGTGAGCTCATGGCTGGGTCTCAGTATCCCCAGACCACGAGGTCACTCCTAAAAACAGGGCAACTACTTTTTGAATTAATTTTGTTTTTGTTCAGTAGATAAAAATCATCATCTCCATCGAAGATGGATCAACCCTTTCCCCCAACTCCTAGCTTCTCATCCTTATCAAAATGAATCTAGTTGTTAATTAAATTCAATTCAGGACATGACAAGAAGCTAAAAGTTTGTATAAAAGAATAAAAATTTCAGTTCCGAAACCCTTCCGGATTCTTGAATCCACTTAATCAAGCTCGTTAAGCTTGATTTCTTCGTAACCCGGAAGGCTGTCTCCCACCCTTCACCGTTGTCTGCAACGGCCTTGCAACTATTGTAGCGACACAATAGTTGCAACTCGGACCGTTCTTCTGTTTTTCTCTGTTGTTTTTCTCTCACAATCTTCGTTGTTTTCGTCAGTGCGACTGTCGTTCTTCTGTTGCTTTTTAGCTTTTCTGCCCAAATGGCCGTTTCTGACGTTTCTCAGAAATGTTACGTAATCACTTCGAAAATTTAAAAGTTAGCAATTTCCGAATCCTTCAACCTTCTCGTTTTGTTCAATCGTTCAAATAACGTTCTTAATCCTTAAAAATCACTAATCCGGAAGGCTCGCTGCTAAAAATTCGAATTCTGCAGAGATTGCATTTTGGCACATTTTGGTCGAATGTCACAAGTAACAAGACTGCTCGTACCAGGGCGAAGCACTGAATGTTCCGACTGCCTTTTAAGTTTTATGGAGCAGTAATATAATTAGTAGCAACAAGTTCGGACAGACAAAAATAATTAAAAAGAGCAAATGTCCTTTTTCAGACATTTTTTGCATGTAAAAGCTAATTTTTCAGACAGAAAGTATGTCTCAATGTCACCTAAAAAATAAAATCTGCATGCAAAAATTGCTCCAAATTGGCAGATTGCTCTTTTTAATTATTTCTGTCTGTCCGAACTTTTTGCAACCTTCTATAATATAAAAAAATTAAATGTAATTAGAAAAAATGAAATTTTTTTCTAAAATTTGATTTTTTTTAAATCATCCCCCACACTTCATAATAAGTACTAAGTGATAGATTTTGCTCCTATTAACAAATCAATTATGGCATATAAGCTTCCTTGAACCAATTTGGAACGATTTCTACGACGAATTAAATGTCGCTTACGCGTTAATAGCGAGAAATTTATCGCGCGTTAATTGTCCCAAAATGGCAATCTTTAAACCCCCATAACTTTACGAAAAAGGATCACAGGTGAAATATCCTTTCAAATTTAAGCTCAGTACAACAATACCTTTCGAATGATATAAAAAAATTCCTTCAAAAATGGCTAGTGAAAAAGTCGAAAATTGTCTGAAGAAAAAAAAACCCACCCCGAGCACAAATTTTCCGTTACTTTCGTATCGAAAGTCGGAACAATTAAAGTGTTTCTTCTTGTTGTACTTTTAAACTCCAATGTTTCTTCCATTACTAACTTCAACAACATTTGTAAAACCTTTCTGTTTTCAGTCAGAAGAAACGTAACCCGTATTGATTTTAATTGAAAACTTGTCATCTTTTTTTATCATTATCACTTGCATATCTAGAAAATTCCAAGGATCTTGACTGCAATACGCGATGAAGGGACTCCTGACTGTTAACCTCGGTTACTATGATACTACTGACCTTCTGATTACCTTTCAGTCAGACAGCTATCTAGGGGAAAATTGAACTCAATCAATAATCGCTGTGACAGTTTTTTTTAGTATAAAGTCTATTGACGTCTAGAAACTAAGAGTTATCATATAATCACTAGAGGATTAAGCATTTGCACGAACCTCCTCGGACGAATTAGATAGCACATCTGAGTTCCGATAAAAGATATGCAAAACTTTGATTGATTTGAGATGTGATTGAATGTTTTCACTAAAAAAAGATTTCTGATCCACATCGTACAACCTGTTAATCGACTGAACGCAGTTAAATTTTTGCACAGTTCAATAGGAAATGACTTCTGTTTCCCATAGGCAGCTAAATTTTTCGCCTGAAACTTTTCAGTTTTTATCGATATCATGTCATTAGAAGAGTTTTCTTGGGCCTCGGATCAACTGGCTAGTGGACTTACCAGCTCAGATAAAAGGAGACTAGCCGAAGATATTATTATACGATTCAAGAAAGATCCGAATGTCCTTAGTTTTTTGGCTGCAATCATTCACTCCCACGAAGTAAACTCTCATTCTGATGCTGTTCTGTTCTATACTTTCAATGTCTTGAAGGAAGCAATTGTAGCTCATTGGACAACTCTGACCTTCGAAGAAGTCCACTCTTGGTTGGAATCAATACTAAAGTTCGCTATGTTGTTTTGTGATCGGCTACAGACCTTTATCATCCAACAGATTTGCAAAACCGTTTCAATCATTGTGAAGCGTTCAACAATTGCTGGCGATCCATGGGTAAAATCTAGAGTCATTGAAAGCGTTTTTGGTCTGGTTAAAGCCGAACAAAGAACTCTTCGTTGCTTCTCTTTCAGTTTGGCCGATGCTGTGATATCGGAGTTCAGTTCAATATATGATTCCCAGTTGAAAGTATCATCACTAGCCTTAAAGATGTCGAAAATCGAATTTCAAAGCAAAGATCTGCCCCTCATCTTTGATACCATGGTCTTTCAAATGCAAAACGTCATCAAGGACCAGTCAAACTTAACAGCTCAAGATATGAATATGTTTGCCAAGCGATCCTTTCAATTAGTTGAAAGAATACTGAGCTGGAATTTTATGCATACAAATCGTCATCAGATGACAAAAACTGCCGAGATTTTGCGACCGGGAATCGAATGGAATGCATTGCTTCTTAATTCAAATCATGTAGAATTTATCATCACCCTAGGACTCAAATTACCATACAGTGAAACTGTGTACAATCCATGGCTGCGCTCAGTGATATTACTTGCTTCTCTTTCGGGAAATGTTTTCACAGAGAAAGCAGAAGAACGAAGCTATTTAGCTACATTTGTTAGTTTTGTAACCTCCCAGTTAACGAGAAACGACGAACTTTGCTGTAAACACCCCTTCGAAATTGCCTCAGTCATTAACAAGATTTGCATTTGTTTTGGCCGTGATACTTGGTCTTCCCTTCCAGAATCGACATTTCTTGCTTTCTTCGATGAACTAAGTCGAGTTTCTTTGAAATTTTGTCAATACTTGACTACAGAAGAAGCGACAAATGACGACCATGTGTTCCGTGAAGCATTTCAACTGCTATTGAATTGTTGGGTAGTACATATAGCAGACAACAATTTTGCTCAGTCGAATGGTAAAATTCGGGAACACTGTTTTTCTTTGTTTTCGTTCTATCTGCAATGTCACATAGCGGAGCCAGATGGCTTGAGAAAAGAGTACGATGAAACAGAAATCGACGAAACAGAGGAAAGTGATAGATTGCTATTCACTGATCAACTAAATTCAATAGCTACAATTGGTAGAAGTTGCCTGGATAAATCAGTGCCTCTGGTAACATCCTTAATGGATCATTCAGTCTATAAGCTATTCCAGCGTCTTACAGTTGAGAAAAATCCAATGAATGTTGAAAAGATTTTCGAAGATACACATTGGATTGTTTTGGTTGCGTCTCACTTAATCGCAGATGAAACTATTGGAGAGACGCCTTCTGTGCCTTATGAAATCTTAGATTTCTCGCTTCGAGCTCAAGACTCTGTTACGCAAGAACCATCACTATTGCATAATCTCTTCATCGGTTACGCAACGGTGTCTAAAACACAACAAACAACATTCGACCCGGTTGTTTTGCTTATATCATCAGTTTTCAATTACATTAACATGGAGAATCGGTTTCTTCATGCAGACATGTCATCTATGCTTTCACCTGAAGTTTCAACCGACTGTTTAGAGTTTTTAAAAAGGTTAGCTGAAAGCTACGTGTTGTATCGGCAAGATGCGGTAAGTATGGAAATCAGTTCCTGCTTGAAGACCATTTTTGGAGAAGACAGTGGCGGCGGTCAATGGATGGTCGAAACTTTGCTGAGCAAAGTTCTTCTTAACATTCTCAAATACAATTCAGAGAGTTCAGTTATAGAAGAAACCTTGAGTCTATTGCTGACTTTGGTACAACATAGTCGCGAAGCTGTTCTGAAATGTCCGGCCATGAACGAAATAATTGAATTGATTACAAAACACGACCAGTTTTGGAACAGTCTTTCAACTGACTGCTGTAGAATACTGATGCAAAGTCTGTTGCAAACAGTCATGAAGAACCCAGAAATGACGCAACTGTTACTCAACAATCTGTTATTACATAACTTCGATGCTTGTGTGTTACGTAATAATGAGTTGAAAAAGTCGAGCCATACTTCAGGTGTGATTCGTGAGCTTGGTCTAATTTTGGAGCTGACTCGGGGCTCAATAAAAGCATGTCATGTCGAAAATACTGAAATCATATTTGAACATACTTTCAAAGTTGTCCATCACTTCAGCGAAATGCTGACTGCCAATTTATACAACGATGAAATCTTGCTGTGTCAGTTGAACTGTCTCTACGATTTAACCTCAATTGGAATTCCATCCATGAATAATTCCCAAATGCTGAACCTTTTAGATGTTTGTTGCCATTACTTACAAACTTTAACTTCGCTTGGAATCCTCAAAGAAAAGACTGGGTCTTCTGCTACAGAAGATGACTCTGCAATAACGTTGGCCGAAACTGCTCTTGGAATTGTTCTGAACATATCATCAATCGAAAGTGTGGATGTCTTTTCTACGTTCAATTCTGAAGATTGTGCTAAAGCAGCACTTAGTGCCTTGAACATAATTGCACCAATATTGACCAGTGAACTCCTCAAAATTCCAAGAATTTCAACGGTGTATTACGACATGCTAGCTACACTTTTTGAATGCAACTCGGATAAAATTCTTAAAGAAGCGAATTCAAGAGTGTTTGAGCTGATTGTGGCGTCTCTAGACGGTGCTCTGCAGTTTGGAACAAGTGATGAGTCGAACCAGTCTCTGATCTGTATTTCATCATTGGCTCAATATGCTCAAACTTTGCTTCAATCAACAAATTCTGACGAACCTGAAAAATCAGTTGTTTTGAACACTTGCCGACATTTGATGAGAACGCTTTTTAAATGTCTGATCAACCACTCGATATCAAGTGAAAATATAGAAAGTAGTTCAGAAGCTGTGTTCCAATTAATGGTTGTTTTGCCAAATGATATGAACGAAATTTTTGAAGCGGTATTGACCAATTTGGTAACAGGTGATGGGGGTACTCGAGAGAAAGTTGCTGGAGCATTTTCGAATTTGGCAGCCCCTATTTGCAATGCTAACGCGAGAGGAAACTCGATGAGGAGGAATACTATCTTCAAAAACAGGCTGGAGAAATTCTTGGATGTGGTGGGAGGCTTGGTAGTTGTTTGAACGGAACTCATAATTTGTTGTTTGAAATTTTGCGGATCATTATGTGTATAGTATTATGTCTTATCGTGTTTTCTGAATTATAATGAAATATTCATATTAACTAAATAATCTGAGTTACCAAATCAATTACAAAGAAATACTTAACTCCTTTTTTAATCAGATTTTTGAGAGGTTGTCGAGTTTTTTGAGAGTTTTTTTTTGGATACGTGAAGAGGTTTAAAATGCTATGCTGAGTTTTTTCAAATAGGTTTAATCTTAATAGCGAAATTTATGCCGATAAAAGCCTGGAAAAGAACTGTTTTGTTTAACGCAAAGTTTTGTCCGCTTAATTATTCTCAAATCAAGATTTAACTTCCCCAGACAGCTGGGCTTATGTGCGCCTTAATGCAAAGCATTTCTGCTAATTTTTTAAATCATTGAAGAGCGTATTTATATCAGCGGTCGGCTGTTTTAGTCCTTGATTTTCGCATATGTTAGCTAATGGTTCCTTTTCTTCTATGCTACCTAAGAATTGAGAGTTTCAACCCTAGAGATTCTTGGAAAAGATTCTTGGAATCTTCATCAGTCGTGATCTGCTCTATGTGCCTGTAAGCATGAAAATTAGCCCTGTTTTGAATGTTTCCCATAATTGTGTCCGTAATTGTTTATCAGAATGTACGCATCATTTCACTGTTTCTAAAGGGGGCGCGAAGATTTGTCTGTGTCAATTGACCGTATCACTCTTTAGTAGTGCCTGATACTTTGATACCTTGTATCGTGAGAGAAGTTGAGAACATCTTTGTTGAGAACAAATTGAATAGTAAAGTTTACCTTGAACTTCAAAATGGTCTGCTGTTTGATAATCACGAAGGTTTTCTTCTTCATCTTTTCACTGGTTATCTTGGTCGGGGCTGTTTTCATTTTTGGACTCCAGTTCTATGCTTTGAAGTTGTATGACTACAACGCTTCTGCCGAGACATACAGCATCTCGCGTGTGTCGGTCAACCTGCTCGGCGGAGGTAACTTTTTCACTCGTGGCCCAAAATGAATAGCAAGCAATTCTTTTTAATTCTTCACTTTTGAAAAAAACAGCCAGTTTTTTTTCGCGCCATTTGCACTTGAAGATCAGAGAGTGTAATTTGCGTTCCAATTCGAAAATGATTTTGAAGTTAACTTTGAACAAATTTTAAATTTCCGACTTTCATTAAAAAGCACTTAAAATTGTTAAAAATAACTCTTCAAATATGAGCCTTAGATGATTAGTGGTTAGTTGAGACTTCAGCAGGGCTGTCATATTGTTAACTAAAACGTTTTTAACACGTTAACATGTTAACTATATGAAAAACACGCTGAAAACATAATTGAATTTTAAAATCATCGAGTTGTTTAAAGAGAAAAGCCAGCTCTCCAGCCTTCTGGACGCCCAAAGAACTTCGGAGTTTTCCATAGGCGAGTCCGAGAGTTGAGAAACACAGCTCCAATCCAGCATTGAAGGATATAGGCTAGGCCTAGTCGAGTTATTTTTTCGATGAATTATGAAAAAAAAGGACTGCATTCGAATTGGAAGCTCAAGATGTTAAAACAATGTGTTAATAACATGTTAAGTATAAGTGTGTTAATAACACCTTCTCAATAACATGGCAACCCTGGACTTGAGTTAATGAGTAAAACGGAGTTTTTACTAATTGAGGCGTTTTTTAAATGAACTTTTCTTCGTTTTTCTCCAAATCGTTTTCCGAATGGCAGGCAAATTACGCCCTACAATAAACACCCCGAAGTGCAAATGGCGCAAAAAAAGTCAATTATTTTTTTTTCAATAGTTGATCTAATGTTTGAGAATTCCCAGCGAACAAAAATCCTATTGATCCAGTGCAACTGGCTTGCTTGTCTCTAGCTTCGGTTTTGATGATATATTATTTAAATAAATAAATAAATATTTTATTTATATTATAAATATATTTCCATGATTATCAAGATCTATATTTTGAATGAATTGAATTCAAATTTCCTCTCAAATTTGAGCTGAGTATGGGTGAAAGCTATGTATTTACTTTGAGCCTTTGCAAAAAAATAAGATCATTTTGTTTGTGAAATTTGGCCACTTTTCATGATCAAAAGCGTAGGATGATCATATAATGTAAAAATTATGCGAATTTTTTTTGCAGCTGCTCTGCTGGGGATTCTGGGATTCCTCGGGTGTTACGGAACTTGGAAAAAGAGCAAGTGCATCCTCTACCTATTCGCTGTCTTTCTCTGCATCGTCATTTTCGCTGAAGTTGCCCTCTGCCTGTTAGCTTTAGTCGAGCCAACTGACAGGCTTGAGCAGAATTTAGTGAGTATGATTCACGATAGAGGAAGAACCGATGAAAACATTGTGAGCCAGTCAGAATTAAGTCTTCAAAAATCCCATAGAAGTCGCAAATATTTGCAAAGAAAGTACATCAATCAAAGATATTGAAAATATTTTAGTCGAAAGTATAAAACCGGAAAAACATCAAATTAAACAAAAATACAGCGTTGATTTAAATTATCTCCATGAAATTTTGAACGACGAATCTTTTCTCTAATTGGTTTGACTTTAGTAACAAAGTGTAGGAATGAAGTTATGGGTCAATGGTCGAGAAATAAATATCAAATTGAGCCTCGTATGTAGCCCAGCAAAGCATGAGAAAAATCATTGTTTAAAACGTTTAAAAATTGTATAAGCGTTCTGCTGTCAGGGTAGACTGAGGGGTTGCACATCTAGCCTCAAATATTACTGCTCAAATCCTTGTTTTCCGAGATTGCTTTTTAAATTTTTTTTTGAAAAATTTTTATTCGAAAAGTCTTAATAGAATATGAAGTTTTTGAAACTCCTCCGGGTATACTATGTGGTTACAAGTATGAGTGCTCAAAATCTTGTTGGTTTTCGAGATGTGGGGTTCTTATGATTTTTTAATTTTCAATTACTGAGATACAAAACTAATAAAACATAAAATTCCCAACCCTATGGTGATGAGCTATAGGCTTGCAATTCTGCCCTCCAAATATTGACTGCTCAAATTCTTTTGGTTTTCGACACTCAAAGTTCAAAATTATTATAGCTTTTTCATTTTTTAAAAAAAAGTGTATTCAGAAAAACTAACAGAACTTCACATCGAAATTTTATGATGCGGTGCTCTCAGGGATTGCAATACTGACCTCCAAATACCAGTGCTGGAAAAACTTAGATTTGATGAAAAACAAAAACTAACAGAATTGGAGACTTTCAGCCCTATGCTGGGGGTTCTTTCACGTACGCTTAGTGGTTGCAAATATGGCTCCAAAAATGATTGATGAAAACCGTTTAACAGCCGAAAGATGGCGTACTTTCATTTATAAAAATTCAAAAAACGTAGATTTTATAAAAACGTAATTTGAAATTTTCAATAATTTTTTCTGGTGCTGTCAGAGAACTCCTAGGTATTGCAAATCTGGCTTTCTTTTAATTTTTTCAACCTCAGTTTCCGAGATTTTACATGTTTTAGTTTTTTTTAAAACAATTTCAGTTAACTAAAGAGTTGGCTTCAATAAAAATCTGATTGGTGGTAGAACTTCATAAAAAACTATGAAAAGTGACTTTTATGCTGTAGGCGTCTGGGGTCTTTTTTGAATTAATTTTTTTCACATGTTTGATGTAACAGTATTTTTGGAGATATGACCATTTTTGTGAAAAGTAACCAAAAAGTTGACTTCATAAGTCGATCAATTAATGAAATAGAAGACCCTGATGGATGGGGCCAGTTCAAATTTACGGTTGCATTAATTTTTGCTGTTTTTTGTGTATATTTTAGGAAGTTACTTTTACGTTCTGACGAATCCTTAAGTGATATCGGCGAATCAAAAAAAAATTTGATGAAGCCTAGCCCTGAAATTGATGTTAAAGGTTTCAATATTTATTTTCAAAAGACCGGTAAAAACTTGCATTCAACTTTTCCAGGCCCATTCATCTATTTTATGGCAAGAAAAAAGTAAAAGCGGCAATGTTTTTTGCGGACATTCACCAGCGGTTTGAGAGGGGGCGGTGGTTAATGACAATTATATTGAAAAAATAGAAAACATTGAAGAAATATTTAGACGGTTTGAGAAAAAAACCGCGAAGGATTAATTAGTTTTTTAGATATAATATCGAATGTCCATCGATATCTGATGTGCTGGCTGATTGAAATAGTAGATTGTAAGAACAAGTTATTCATTCGTCATTTGAAAAGCAACAGAATAGCTAATTCTTAGAGGATCCAAAAGATAATTACGCAAAATACACATCACTTTTGCTGTTCTCAGATCTGTCTAAAGTCCTCAAAAATATTTCAAGCACAAGAAGTATATATGTTTTTAACAATTTGAAGAATTTAATTTATTAAGAATTAATTTTAAAAATTAAATTAAAAAAATTAGAAGTAAACACATTTTTTTAGCAACTGCTATTTTTTTTGTAAAAATTCTTGTTTTTTCTTCCATCATTTGATACAATTGAAGTTTGTAAATTTTCATGTGAAGTTTTTGATGATATTCTTTTTGATCTGAAACTGAACGCTTAAAGAATGACTTAAGAGACATCACGCGACAGGCAGAAAAGCCTGCAGGTCTCGCAAGTTATAAAATTTGATGATGTTTTATTAACCACTCGTAAACGAATTAATTATGACGAGATCAGCAGATTATGCAATTGAACTGGTATGCGGTGCGTGCGTACCAGGCCAGAAGAGAACAGATTTTTATAATTGACCAAAGACGCGCGAAGAGCACCACACCACAAATTGAGTTTAAATTGAAAGAGAGTTCTAATAATTTTTACTGTTGATTCTGCTTTCGCTTTTCTGCATAATCAGCGAGCGGACAATTTTATTGGCCATAAAAATTCCAGCTTTTGGTCCTCATCGGGAGATGAACTGATATAATAATGATTGGCGATGTGTCAAGGTCACCCAACAAATAGTTGGATAGAACGCTAATATCAAACATGGAATCGACTAGGGATCTACTTAACAATCTTCCCCCTATGGTATCTACTTAAGAATCTCCACTCTATTAACAAATACAGTAAATTAGCGCTAGAGCTTTCTATTGAGAATTATAATTTTGCTGCATTCTGATTGATTGAAAATTCAACTAACCTAATCTGCTTAACAATCTCCTCCCTTGGTTCTTACTATAAAAAATTGGTAGATTCGTTCAGCTTGCATGTTCCAGAAAATTCCCTGGCCCTTGTGGAGCATATTGGCAATAAATTACAAAATAGGATATACATATTTATATATTTATATTGTAGGTTTGTTTTGTGAAAATCGAACTGAAATGGCATTTATTTGAGGGCGCCTCCTTTTTTTTTATTGTCACAAGTTGCAAAATCTCAGTTTTGCCTTGATAATTTGACAGTAAAAGATGTGATCTTTCTGTGTATTAGAAGAAATATGTGTCTCATATTGGTGGAAGGAAACTGGTATCGACTCTCAAGAATAGAGTCGTTCTAACCACAGCGGGAGTGTTCTTAAACGCCTTCCTTCAGCTCCTCGGAGTTTTCTCGGCTGTGAAAGTTGGAAGATCTCTACATTAGAAGTCGAGCCTGTGTGATTTATTAAAATGAAGAGGCCCGGCTGTGGATTCAAACGAATATAAAAACATACTACAAATAGTTGATGACAATGAAAATATTTATTTGATCATTTTATATCTTTTAACGTCTATTCATTCTTATTAAGACTATTCATTCTCAAATATAAATACTATAGCGGAAAGCAGGAAAAATTTTGAGTTATCTGAGTTGACCAACTGATTTTCAATTAAATGTTTGATCCGTAATCAACTGTTTACCCTTGCGATAAGCAAGGGTATTGCAATCGGGTACTAGACTTTTGTCCTGTAAACAACTTTGTCCACACTTCTAGATAATCTCTTCTAGAGGATCTTCTGGTTTCAGGTTGTAAATTCAGGTTGTTATTATCTTTGCAAAGGTTGTAATTTCAGGTTGTAATTATCTTTTGAAGTTTCAGGTTGTAATTATCTTATCAAAAAAAAATGTCTAAATCTTTCTCGGGCTCGTGCTTTTCGTCCTAGTTTCTTTCGGTTCTTTTTCCGTTTTTAAACGCCATTTTTTTTAATCTGGCAGGGTTTTAATTGAATTATTATTTAAAGCATGGGTTTTGTTCTAAACAGTTTTTCTATCACTGAAATTTCATAAATTTATAATTTTACCATGTCTGAGTTTTTTTTTCATTTTATTTTCGTTTTTTTTAATATATATTCAAACAGTTTCAGATTATAGTATATCGACTTCGTCAACGTGTTTTTCGTATTTTCGAGGGCAAAAAATATCCGTTCGGGATTTTGTTTCAGTTTGGATGAGTCGTGGAAACTTGAAATTTTATCACAAGTTTCGTTTTCGGCTGAACAGGTTTCGATCCAAAGTTTGTCGCCTTTGTTGGCACTCGGTAAAGGATTTCCCTTTTTCAAGGGCTGTTTATGAATTTCATCCGATACAAATATGAAGTTTTTGTAGCTGTAATTTTACAACTTTTGTCAAGTTATTTTTCAATAATTTTTTCCAACATAATTTTTCATGAGTATTTTTTGACTTGTCTTTTTTTCATTCACTATTTTGTAGGGCAATGTGTTTTTTGCTTCGCAATTATTGCGAAGCTCCGCTTTACGTCTGTAAAATAATTGCATTGACTCTAATTTTTATAAGTCGTTCTCATTTTTTGATTTCAATTTATCTTTTATGCCTAGAAGAGCTTCAATTTAATAGGAAAAAGTGAAGAAAAATGTTTTTTCACACGTATGTTTTACCACTTGTATTAAAGAAAAGTATAGTGGTTTCTTAACAGGAAAGTTTTAAAAACATCGAATTCTCGAAAACCAGATGGTGTCAGAACCGAATTTCTAGTGCAGACTTGCAAAACCCAATTTAAAAACCAGGTATCATTGAAACAAAGGTTATAGTTTAAGTTAAGGTAATAATCGAAATTAATGGGGTTAGCTTTTATTGGGGAAATAGCACCGCAAGGTTTTCTTCTTTTAGAAATATTTTTTTTTACTGACAGTTTCAAGAATTCAAACATGTTTTTTATGATATGCGAACATTAAATTGACGTCTTCGAAAACTCAGAGTTTTTAGGCGACATTTTAAGAGAACGTACAAGATGATTTACAGCAATGTGTTTTCGGTAACTTCACATTCATGATTTAATTCGCTGGAATTTGTTGTTGTTCCGACCATTTGACCGGTATGTTTAAGTTCTTTTTCGTTTTGTGTTATCCACGCCAAATCAGGTACCACAAATAATCATCGGGATTGTTCGAGCGATATATCATATTAAAGCCCTTTCTGTCGTGATTCGAGCAATATTCTGTGTCGATAAAAACCAGTACAAAAATTTTGGTCTAATTTCCAGCTAATACGGTCGGCGTGCAGACTTACAATAGCTTATTTAAGACTAATTTAAGCCGTGAAAGCCTAATTTTAATCGAGCAAAGTTAGTTTTCAGTGCCATTTTGGGAATCTCAATGAAAAGCATTGTATCATCAGCAAAAAACTTAATCAATTTTTCAGGTACACTAAGCTATCAGTAAGGCTATCAGTGATGTGCATAATACGAAAAAAAGTGGAGCCATTACAGAGCCTTGGGAAACTCCCTAAATTAGCAAGCAACCAGTCAGATTTTGCCTATCAATCTGTTTTTTGGGCATTCATTGGCAAGCGTCATCCATTTAGGAGAAAGATTTTTTTTCAAGCAAGCAGTTTTATCCAGCATTCCAATTTCCGGTCCGCTTGCTAAGCTATGGAGCGGGAAGACTGTAAAGGGGTGGCATTGGCAATTATCAGTTATTTGAAGGGTTTTTTTGAGTAAAATGTTTTCGTAAAATTTTCCACCCTATTTTATTCATACAGCATAGACATTTTTACTGGAATTGAGATTTCCTTAATTCTTGAAACTGTTTTTTGTGCTGTTTGTGCTGGTGATTAGCAAATTGTAGTACAAACTTTCCGGTAATCAAATTGTCTAACTTAATCTTTTTGTTAAATCTGCCTGACTTCAGCTAACATTTTTGCTATTTTGCCATTTAGACGTTTTATTCGAATTAAGCATTTTTATCAACAATGTTGCTACAAGAACTTTTTTCTCGCCTAAAATTGTACTTCGGCTTCAATTGCTTCAAAAAACATCGGCTTCAATTGCCTTAAAATTTTTTTTTTTTTTTTTCGCATATTTTATGTTGGCTTCGGCGCCTCATTAAGTCATCTGAATTACAAAAATCAAATTTATGCATGTTTGTTTCGGTGGGGATTTTCGAACCTTCAAAGTTCCATTTTTTGTTGCTCAAATTTTTGTATGACCACCTTTTGGCCCAATGGGCTTCTCCTCAAGTGCAGTGCTGATTTAATTTATCCGGACAAAATGAACAAAACTTGGAACTTTCAATCACGTTTTTGCTAATGCAGGTTAGACAAAAAGTGAAGAGAACAAAAATTGCTTAGAGTTTCATCAGAACTAATATGGTGCAATAAATACGGGGCAAGGGAAAGAATCAAAACTAAAAAAAAAAGACATTCTTTGTAGTACTTAGTACATAGTTGAAAGTTGCCCGAGGGAAAAAGAGCCCGGCCTGAGGGCACGAAATGTCCGAGTGCGGCTCTTTTGTGCGAGGCCATCTTCAACTATGTTCTACTCGTTGATGAATATGTTTTTGCTCTTTCTGAGGGAAAGATGCCGGAAAATTGTGAAAGAGCCCAGAAAAGTGGTGAAACTATGCAAATTATTTCTTTTTTCATTCATGCGTTCTAATATTTCATTTTTCATTCATGCTTTGTCGTGAAAGAACATGTGTGAAAGAGCACAAACATAATCTTCTGATTCTGCGATAAATAATCATTGTAACGAAAGTTTCGAAGCAGTAACTAGCTACAGTGCTGATTTAAATTATCCGGACAAATTGAACAACACTTGAAATTTCAAACGCGTTTTTCTCAATTTGGGTTTATATTACACTATTAGACAAAAAGTGAAGAGAACAAAAATTGCATAGAATTTCATCAGAGTTAACATGGTGCAAATTTTTCTCCGAATTTCTGCACCAAAATTTTAGCCCAAATTTGGTTCATTTTGGCTTTTTTCAATTAATCAAAAACTACGCTGAAACTACGTTGTTAATTGATAAGAAATATATATCACAAGAAGCCTCTTACACAAGCCAACAAAGTTCCAGAAAAGTTAAATCTCAAAAAATTTGAGTAAATTGATTAAAATTTGTTTTTAAGCAAAGATATTGTGTTTTATATAGTAAAAATCACATTTCTTGATTATCAAGCAAAAATATTTTCTCTTATACAAGTTTTTGAAGATTTAACCATTCTAGATTTTTGTTGGGCTGCGTAAGAAGCCTCTTGTGATATATATTTTTCATCAATTAACAGAGTACTTTCAGCGTAGTTTTTGATTAATTGAAAAAAGCCAAAATGAACCAAATTTGGGCTAAAATTTTGGTGCAGAAATTCGGAGAAAAATTTGCACCATGTTAACTCTGATGAAATTCTATGCAATGTTACTGCTTCAAAATTTTCGTTACAATGATTATTTATCGCAGACTCAAAAGTCTGTCTTTTTTTTCAGTTTTGATTCTTTCCCTCGTCTAAAACTGTGAGGCGTAATTCGACAGCGGTTATCTAATACAAATAAGATTAAAGAAAACATTAGTAAAACAAAATACTAGTTCAATTTTGAACAAATGAAGTGCCAGAGCACACGTTTCTGTATGGTTACAAGTTGTTTCTTAGATAAGAATTACTGGTGAACTATCTAGCTTTTTAGGAGTCGATAAACGTAGTTCAGACTCTTATATAGGTCGTGATTTTTTCTGTTTCGTTTTTTAACGTCTTAAACTTTGTTCGCGTTCTTACTTTTTCGCGGTATGACTTTTGATTTCTTTTTAAGCTGAGTTAATTTCTTTTGTTAAAAGGAATGCAAACTTCATTATTGAACAGCAAAAGTGTAAAGGTTCTGAAAAACGTGATCGACTTCTAATTTCGAACGTCGAAATTAACTATCAGATTTTCCAGTGAAAAAAAATTATCACCTATTGGTTCAGATTTCTTAAGTTGGCTTAATTTTATCAAAAAAGTGACAATCATTTTTCAAAGAGCTTTAAGGCCATCTAATTTTTTCTTGGAAATTGGAAAGTTGAGATTTTTTCAAAAATAAGCCAGTGTTTTTTTTTGTTTACTTGCGTTCGTTGACTCTTTTGCTGTATTGAAGTTGTATTGGCTATATTTTGAAACATTACCGAATGGATCATTCGCTTGATTGGAACAAAAATTGGAATAAAAAGCCGTTTTGAAAAATAGAAATAGCAAAAATTGGAACTATTTCTTGAGTTATATGTAAACTTTCAGATAGTTTTGAACAGTTGGTCACAGTCGTTATCATGGCCTCAAACGAAGCCACAGAAGAGGAAGAAACCAGATGTCCAGTATGTCTGGAGCTTTTCGTTCTACCTGTGAAACTGCCAGTCTGTCAACACAAATTCTGCTTTCTGTGCATAAAAGGAGTTGCTTTAAGAACAGGAAAATGTGCAATGTGCAGAGCTCAAATATCAGAAACTATTTTAACCCAACCGGAGTTGCTGCTAGAAAACAGTGCGACGGTGTCGCCTCTCAAGAAAAAAGTGATGGACAGTCTGGACGAAAATGGGAATGAAAAAGAAGTCAGTGAGGATTCACTGACTTGTAGTTCTGCTGCTGTTTCGAACAATAACGTGCGATGGTTCTATTCTGGGTACAAAGGTATGTTACGTACTTCTTATTACACTTGCGAAGCAATATGTAAAAGTACGAACTTTCTTTTTTGCGACTTAAAGCAACAATATTTCCCGCATGGAAATGGCAATACAAAATGTTTGGCAATTTGTTGCACCTTTACAGCTTATTGATAACATTTGCTTTGACTCTCGAATAGTTATAAGTTTACACAGCTGATGCATTTTTAATTCATCAAGTGAACCGAAGAAAGCTATTTGTTTCAAACAACATCAATAAACCTCGATTTCAGAAATTTTTTAAATGAATAATTTATACACTAATGTGGCTTTATCATTTACGATTTATTACATGCAAAATTGTATCTTTTTGTATTTGGTGCTACTTTTGCTGCATAGAATTGGCAATTTGTTAGCATATGTAGCTGCGTTATTGGTGGCTAGTTTTTAGGCATTTGAAGCATTCGTGGCTGAATGGTTAGTGCGTGAGACTCAAATTTACTAGATTGCAGATTTTTGCTAATTGGAGTTTTTGCTGAGCCTCGAGTTTGTGCAAATTCGAGGCGTATTTCTACTTTTATGTAAAATTCTGAAGCTAACTTTTTATGGTTGATAGCACACAATCGGTTGCTTAATGCAATTCAATTTTTGCAGATGCTTGTTTTTAAAAAATTTTCTCCAGGTTTTGATAACCTATAGAGTTGGCAGATAAACGTAGACTTTTTTGCTGTAAGTTTCAAACTGATTTTTATTCGCTTACTTTTAGATTTAAATTGATGGGTGATTTTGAAAAAAATCTCAATAAAAACTGATTTTTTTCGAATCTAATTGAGTTTCAGGCTGGTGGGAGTACGATGAGAGAACAAGTCAGGAACTTGAGAAGTTCCTCTCACAATTCAACAAACTGTCATCCGACTCCAGTTTAACCAAATCAACTCAAAAATCGAAAACATCATTTGCAGCTATGAAGAAAAACGAGCAAGAATCCGAAAGCCAATTGGCCGAAGGCCAGTTCGAACTTATGATCAGTGGGTATGTGTATGTTATTGATTTCAATAGGATGATCCAGTACAGACAAAACATGACTGGAAGGTCTCGAAACATCAAACGGTTGACTACGGAAGACCAGTCTATAAAACCAGAGGAAGTGAAAGGAATTTCGGGAATCAAAACCGAGATTGTGTCTAGCTTTAAGAAGGTAGTTGACGCTGAAAATGAGCAGAGTCAACAAACAAGTTCAAGTTCATCAGCAACTGGCGAATTATCGAGTCGTCAATCGGATACTGAAATGTTATCCGGAACCTTTCGATGCACCAAATTGTAGATGCATGTGCTCGTTTTTTAAAATAATTTTAGTTAGTTTTATATTTATTAGAAGATTAGATATTATATGTCCTTCAAGTCAAATTTGTGGAAATTTCGAATACATATATTTTTTCGAAATTTCTATAATTGCGTTTCATGTTTTACCCGCACTGACAAACTTGATATAGAAATGGTTGTAAATCAATTTTTATCCAGATATACTGTTTAAAATACGGTTTCTGGTAGCTCATTCACATGCAAAATTCATTAGACAAAGATTAGATATTTTAAACGGATTACAACGGTAGAAAAAAAAATGTTTTTGACATTAAAATTTGATTTGAATGGATTTCGCAAGACCTTTGAAATCACATTTTTTGGGTCGAAAAAATTTCCATTTTGTAGCCTAAAAAGTCCATATCAAATTGCTTCAATCAGTTCTTAAGCTCCTGTTTGTTTTTTGAAAATAAGTCAAAAACTCTTTGTTCGCGATTTTTTTAAATAATGAAACACGTTCCAAATATAAAAATTATGTTAAAATAAATAATTTGTTCAAAATAAGTTAAGAACACTTTATTCGTGGTTTTTAATAATGAAACACGTGCCTAAAGTAAAAATTTTGTTAAAATAATTAATTGGAAATCAGATTTTCAGCACAAAATGGATCTTCAGCACAAAAATTTGGAATAAACCACAAAATCATTAATTTCAGCACAAAAATATGGAGATTTTCAGTACAAAGATATGAAATAAAACACAAAATCATCAATATGAATCAGATTTTGAGCCAAAATTTTTGTTGAAAAATCATGGATTTTGGCAAAATAAATCAAGTTTTGAGCACGAAAATGTGCTATAAAACCACAGAAAATCATCAATATAAACCACTCGACACAACGAGACAAACTGAGAGCTAGTAAACGCACAGTTTGCCTAGACCTCAGGTAAATTGAAGCCTCAAAGCGCAGCGTACAGCCCGCACCGAAGTTTCTTGGATAAAAATAGATTATCTTGAGAAAGTTTGCCGAAAAAGTTGCCATGATAATCGATTATGTGTAACCAATTTAGGCAATATTTTCTATTATAATAAAAAAAAAATAGATTATTTTCATGAAGATTATATTGCATTATAATTCCACTAAAGTCTATTTTTATCTCCACATAATCTCAACAAAGTTTATTTTTTCGCCCTGGAATCGCAAGAAATTTGATTGCTTTTGCCATAAAATCACAACAAAACTATTGCTATTGCCATAAAGTTGCAATAAAATCTAGGACCCACAAAAAATCGATAATGTTGTCAAAAAAATGGATTATATTGTCTAAATAATTGATTTTTCTCTTTCTAAAAGCATGCTTTTTGAAACTCAAAACAAAAGTTGAATTCAAACCAAGTAACACAAATTATGAAAATCATCAATATAAACAAGATTTTGGGCACAAAATATGCAATAAAAATATTGAAAAACCATTAATGTAAATCAGATATTGGGCAAAAACCTATGTATTAAAAAGAGAAAAAGGTCGCTAAAAATCAATTCTTGAGCTCAAAAATAGGCAACAAAAATATAGAAAAGCATCATTGTAAATCAGGTTTTGGGCAAAAACATATTTAACAAATGAAGAAAATGGTCAATATAAATCAGATTTTGAGCTCAAAAATATGCAATAAAAATATTGAAAAACCATTAATATAAATCAGATATTGGGCAAAAACCTATGTATTAAAAAGAGAAAAAGGTCGCTAAAAATCAATTCTTGAGCTGAAAATATGCAATAAAAATGTAGAAAATCATCATTGTAAATCAGATTTTGGGCAAAAACATGTAACAAATGAAGAAATTGGTCAAAATAAATCAGAGTTTGAACTCAAAAATATGCAATAAAAATATTAAAAAACTATCGATGTAAATTAGATATTGGGCAGAAAACAATGTTTTAAATAGAGAAAAAGGGCGCTAAAAATTCATTTTTGAGCTCAAAAATATAGAAAATCATCATTGTGAATCAGATTTTGGGCAAAAACAAATGTAACGATTCAAGAAAATTGTCAATATAAACCAGATTTTGAGCTCGGAAATATGCAATCAAATCATAGAAAATCATCATTGTAAGTCAGATCATGGGCAAAAACATTGGTAACAAATGAAGAAAATGGTCAATAAAAATCAGATTTTGAGCTCGAAAATATGCACTAAAGTTATTAAAAAACTATCAATGTCAACCAGATAATAGGAAAAACCAATGTAACAAATAGAGAAAAAGGTCGATAAAAACCTAATTTTGAGCTCAAAAATATGCAACAAAAGTATAGAAAGTCATCATTGTAAATCAGATTTTGGGCAAAAATATATAAAACGCTTAAAAAAAATTGTCAATATAAACCAGATTTTGAGCTCGAAAATATCCAATGAAGTCATAGAAAATCATCATTGCAAATCAGATCTTGGGCAAAAACCTATGTAACAAATGAAGAAACTGGTCAATATAAATCAGATTTTGAGCTCAAAGATATGCGCTAAAATGTTTAAAAAACTATTAATGTCAACCAGATAATGGGAAAAATTAATGTAACAAATAGAGAAAAAGGTCGATAAAAATCTAATTTTGAGCTCAAAATTATGCAACAAAAATATAGAAAGTCATCATTGTAAATCAGATTTTGGGCAAAAACATATGTAGCGATTCAAGAAAATTGTCAATAGAAACCAGATTTTGAGCTCGAAAATATGCAATCAAGTCATAGAAAATTATCATTGCAAGTCAGATCCTGGGCAAAAACCTATGTACCAAATGAAGAAATTGGTCAATATAAATCACATTTTGAGCTCAAAATTATGCAATAAAATTATTTGAAAATTATCAATGTAAACAAGATGTTTAGCAAAAACCAATGTAATAAATGAAGAAATTGGTTAATATAAATCCCATTTTTAGCTCAAGAATATGCAAATTAAATATTTGAAAATCATCTTTGTAAATCAGATTTCGTTTTTAAACATATGAACCAAATCAAGAAAGTTGTCTAAATAAACCAGATTTGGAGCTCAAAAATATGCAACAAAATTACAGAAAATCATCAGTGTATATCAGCTTTTGGGCGTAAACATATGTGACAAATCAAGAAAATTGTCAATATAAATCAGATTTTGAGTTCAAAAGAGTTTGATTGTTAAGATAGTTTTGTTTCTTTTTCTGTTTAATATGACGTTCATTTGTTGCCTTGACATTCATTTGTTGCCTTAGACAGCACAGCCAGTGAACCAGCCAAGCACAAGCGACCAAGCCAACTGCACCAGAGGCCTAAACAGCATAGTAAAGTTTAATATAAATCAAAATAAATCACACAACACAAGGCAAACTGCGCGAACAAATGCATAGTTTGCCTAACCCCTAAGCTAAATTGAAAGCCGCAAAAGCTCCGCAAACGAGCAAATTAACCTTAGACACCAGACTAAGCAAAAAGCCACTTGGGCTTAGCAGTCGACGGAAAAAAGAACCTAAGCTAGCACTAGGCGAGGGGAGGTCACACCAACCCGAGGTTGAAGAGACGGTCCAGGAAGATAACTGCTGCACTAGGTAGCGCAGGCAGAGAACCAGTCAAGAACAAGTGACGAAGCCAACTGCGCCAGAGGCCTAAATAAATCACTCAACACAAAACAAGGCAAACAGTGCGCGAGCAAGTGCTCAGTTTGCCTACCCCCTCAGCTAAACTGAAAGCCTCAAGAGCGCCGCGAACGAGCAACCTTAACCTTTGACAACAGACTAAGCAAAAAGCCACTTGGGCTAAGCAGGCAACGCAAAAAAAAACCTAAGCTAGCACTAGGGGAGGGGAGAACAAACATTCCCGAGGTTGAAGAGACGGTCCAGGAAGACAACTTCTGCACTAAGCAACACAGGCGGAGAATCAGCCAAGCACAAGCGACGAAGCCAACTGCGTCAGAGACCTAAACAGCATAGTAAAGTTTAATACAAATCAAAATAAATCACACAACACAAAACAAGGCAAACAGTGCGCGAGCAAATGCACAGTTTGCCATCCCTCAGCTAAACTGAAAGCCTCAAGATCGCCGCGAACGAGCAACCCTAACCTGAGACAACAGTTTAAGCAAAAAGCCACTTGGGCTAAGCAGGCAACGCAAAAAAAAACCTAAGCTAGCACTAGAGGAGGGGAGAACACACATTTCCGAGGTTGAAGAGACGGTCCAGGAAGATAACTGCTGCTTTAGGCAGTACAGGCAGAGAAACAGTCAAGCACAAGCGACTAAGCCAAGCACAAGTGACGAAGCCAACTGCGCCAGAGGTCTAAACAGCATAGTAAAGTTTAATACAAATCAAAATAAATTACACAAAACAAGACAAACAGTGCGCGAGCAAATGCACAGTTTGCCATCCCTCAGCTAAACTGAAAGCCTCAAGATCGCCGCGAACGAGCAACCTTAACCTGAGACAACAGTTTAAGCAAAAAGCCACTTGGGCTAAGCAGGCAACGCAAAAAAACCTAAGCTAGCACTAGAGGAGGGGAGAACACACATTTCCGAGATTGAAGAGACGGCCAGGAAGACAACTTCTGCACTAGGCAGCACAGGCAGAGAATCAGCAAGGCACAAGCGACGAAGCCAACTGCGCCATAGACCTAAACAGTCTAGTAATTTTTAATATGAATCAAAGTATATCACTCAACACAAAACAAGGCAAACTTTGCGCGAGCTAATGCACAGTTTGCGTAACCACTCAGCTAAACTGAAAGCCTCAAGTGCGCCGCGAACCAGCAACCTTAGACACCAGACTAAGCAAAAAGCCACTTGGGCAACGCAAAAAAAACCTGAGCTAGCACTAGGGGAGTGGAAAACACACCAACCCGAGGTTGAAGAGACGGTCCAGGAAGACAACTGCTGCACTAGGCAGTACAGGCAGAGAAACAGTCAAGCACAAGCGACTAAGCCAAGCACAAGCGACGAAGCCAACTGCGCCAGAGGTCTAAACAGCATAGTAAAGTTTAATACAAATCAAAATAAATCACACAACACAAGGCAAACAGTGCGCGAGCAAATGCCCAGTTTGCCTACCCCTTCAGCTAAACTGAAAGCATCCAGAGCGCCGCGAACGAGTAACCTTAACCTTATACGCCAGACTAAACAAAAAGCCATTTGGGCTAAGCAGGCAACGCAAAAAAAGAACCCAAGCTAGCACTAG